CAGAAGGAATCTGGAGGGTTTGGACTCTTGGATAGGAAACAGGAAGTTTTTTGTTGTTTCTGTTTTCATTTTTATTGTGATCTGAGTGAAAGTTTACAGAGCAAATTCATTTCCATACAGCAGTTCATACACATTTGTCTCATGACATTGACTACAATTCCCACAGTGTAACAGCTCTCTTCCCACTTAACAGGAGGTGTTGAGGAGAGATAGACAGCAGAGGGAAGTAGGCAGCTGGGTGGCAGCTTTACCAACACCACAGGATGGTGTTGGTCCCAGGGGATGGACCCCACATTGACTGAATACCTCTGTATGCCAAGAACCGCCTCTCAGTGAACTGTAACCAATAGCTGACATTGGTGGTGTGCTTACAATGTTCCAGACACGATTCTAGGAAACTGAGGCAGAAGCTGAATGACATGCCTGAGGTTACACAGCTGAGGGCAGAGAAGCTGAGATCTGGACCCAGGCAGGCCCGCTCCAGAGCTCCTGCTCTTGGTCACTGTGCCATGCTTCCTCAAGGCTAACCCAGTCCCCCTAACAACCTTGTGCAGGAGGAAGTATTATTATCCCAGTTAACAGGTGAGGAAATTAAGGCACAGAGCCCCCAGGAGGGCAGAACTAGTAATTGGTGTTTCTGGGATTTGGACCCAGGCCTGAAGGCCAGGTCTGCCCCCACACTTCCCACTTGCCTCGTCCCAAACACCTTGGGCCCCGCCCTGCCACCTTGCCTATGGTCAGCAGCCCAGGTGGGCAGATGTGCTTTTGACTAGTCCTGGCCTTGGGAAGCCATTGTTTACTTATTGGAAGAAACACCAGGCCCAGCTTTCTCCTTTGGATGACTCCGGGAACAGATTTCCGCAGGCCCAAGGCCCTTCCCAGACTGGAAGGATTTCCTGGTCTTGCAAGGCCCAGGTCAGATTTTGAGGCTGAGATGGAGGGGCTTGGACTTGGGAAAGGGCTCCAGTTCCTCTGGCAACCCCTTTCCTTCTGGCGTAGTGGTTAAGGCATTTGGCTACTACCCAAAAGGTCGATGGTTGGAATCCACCAGCTGTTCCACAAAGATTTACAGCCTTGAAAAGTCACTATGAGTTGGAACCGACCCAAAGGCAGTGAGTTTGGTTTTGGTTTCAATCTTTCCCTCTGAGACGCAACTTCTCCATCATTTCACTTTTGGGGAGGTATAGTGGTGTGTAAGGACCCTCCCAGCTCAGACCTGGGGGAGCTGCTCTCCACAGATGCAGAAGGAAGCTGGCAGTGGGGGAATATGCTTACTTTGCTTTCTAGAGAAGAAACAAGCCCTCAGCCTTCTGCTGAGAGATTCTGGCTGGACTGTCTCCACAAGAGGTAGGACTCCCAGCAACTTCTCTGTCTGCCCCTAAAGATGGTGAAATTCCTGTGCAAGGAAACAGCTGGTCAGGGCTGCCCAATTACCCTGATAGTGTCATCCTGGCATCAAGGAAGGACCTCAGGTTTTACTGGCTCTTTCAATGGTACACTCTGTGGGGAGTGAGGCTCCTAATAGGGTCATGACCCTGAAGGTTAATATCCCAAGGCTTGAGATTCCCACGCTGGAGTTAAGGATGGGTGGATGGGTGAGATGGCTTCGACTCTGTCTGAGAAAGAGTGCCTGCTTCCCACGAGTGCACCTACTCAGCTTAGTGAGCCAGGCCCTTGCTTGGGCCCTGAGCAGGAAGGAGAAATAGGCCTAGGAACCAAGCACTTGGACAGGGAAGGGGATGGGAGGGAACTGGTTCAGAAGATTTCACCCTTCCCCCAAATTGTCCCAAACCTGAGGGGGCATCCCACTGCCAAGCTCCACCCCCAGCCCTTGCTTCCTGGTTATCTCTCCTGGCCTTTAAGATAAGGACCCCGCCTGTCACTCTGGCCTCATCTCTCATCCTCCCCATTTTGCTCTCTATGCTACACCAACCACCTTTAAGTTTCCTGAAGCTGTTGTGTTGCCTTCTAGCCCAGGGCCTATGCACTTGATGATGTCTTCCCATGCTTTTCTCCATCCTGCTTGGCCGATGTGGCAGGATACATCTTCACACACACATGTTCTAGAGCCTGGCACCACTGGAGTCTAGTGATACAGGGAAACTTGTGTGTTACAGTTGGAGCATGGGAAGAAGAAACACTGAGCATCATAAGATGGGCTGGACTTAACGCTACTGAGAGGTTTCTCTTCCATATGAATATCTGATGTCCTTTCTGAAGCCCTCACCCTCCTGTTCCTCTGTGGTGGTTATGTTTGTGTGTCAACTTGGCTGGGCCTGGTTGAGTGGCTGGGCAGCTGGTGGTAGTTATTCCCCATGATGAGACTGGCAATCAACTCCATGGTGGGATCTATCACAAGCAGCTGAGTAGCTGCCTTTGGGACATGGTCTGCTTCCTAAAATAAGGAGAAGCCTTGGGAATGGTCTCTAGCACATGGTACGCTTGGACCCTGCATGTAGCCTTGTCATTGTTCAGCAGCTTGCCATGCTCTGCCAACCTGGAGACTTACAATGGAGTTGAATTAATGGCCTACCATGTGGTTTGGTAATATCTGGACTGTGCCTTTTTATTTGTCAACCTTGGGCTTGCCATCCTCAGCAGCCAGCAGCTGTCTGAGTGAAAAAATGCCTCTAGCTCAAGTGGGCATGGAGCAAGAGGCACAGCTGGACCCGCAAGGTTTGAGGGGCTTTTACCCAGCCCTAGAGCCCTGGCACTTTGAACTCAGACTTAAAGCCTCCAAACTGTAAGAGAATAAACTCCTGTTTGTCAAGGCCATCCCATTTGTGATATATTCTTGTCAGAGCGGCACTAGGTAACCAGAGCATCCTCCTTCACAAAAACCAGACCTCTGTAAGGATCCGTTACCTTATCCCTCATCCTCCTACACTTCCTGTCCAGCACCACAGCCCAATGGAACACAGAATGAGTACACTCATGCAGGAGACTGGCCAGAAGAGGAGAAAAGACCCTTTATGGTGGGTGGGCAAAGGGGCTGAAAGAACTTAGAGAGGGGAGAGAGAGGGTCTGAGAGAGGCTCTCTGCTGACCATAATGTGTTCCAGTATCTAGGTCCAAGGTTCCACATCTTGGAGGAAAACACAGGGACAAATAAAATAACCTGATACTTTGGTCTGGTATGTTTGTGGTGTTGGTAAAGAACATTGAATACACTGTGGACTGCTAGGAGAACAAACAAATCAGTCTTACAAGACATACAACCAGAATGTTCCTTAGAAGGGAGGATGGTGAGACTTAGACTTGCTTTTTGGACACGTCATCAGGAAAGTCCAGTAGCTAAGAAAGGACTCATGGCTGGCAAAGTAGAGGGCCAATGAAAATGAAGGAAACCTTCAATGAGATGCATTGACACAATAGCATCAACAATGGTGATGCAGGACCAGGTAGCGTTCTGTTGTTCATAAGATCACCATGAATCAGAGCCAACTCAACAGCAGCTGACAACAGCATGTTTGACCAATGACTGAAATAGTCTCATCAGTGGGTCCGTGAATTGGTGAGTGAGTTGGTGAAAGTTTCCATACCCAACCTGCCGTCCTACTGACTGGGGCACCTTTCTCATGTATTCACTTGGCAAACTCCTGCTCAGCCTTCAAGATGCAGCTTGTTGTTACCATCTCTACTGGTAAGATAGAAATCGAGTGTACTTGTCTGTGCCCCACCCCAACTGTGAGTTTCCTCAGAGTGGAAACTGGATAGGGTTGTCCATCAAGGTATCCTGCAAAGAGGCAAGACTTCACCCAAGCTCAGCCAGTCAGCACTGATGCAAGGACAGGAAGCCAGCTGAGACTGATCGTCCCCTAGGTGGTACCTGATGAAACATCTGTGGACTGCTTGCTGCCTCAAGGCCCCAAGATGCCTTGGGCCCTAACTTAGATCCAAGCCTGGCTTTGCAGCCTCCTGTCCATTCAAGATGCCCCTAAATACAGTCACTTTTTTGGTTTTTACCAGAATTGTATCTCTTGTTTGCTGCTGAGGACCCATCAGTGCGTCTTGGGCATGTGAGTGTTCCTTGGAGCCTCAGGCTTGCTGAGCTAAGGGCCTGTGGGCAATACATGTGGGTAGGGTCTGTATGAACTTGGAAGGGAGGCACTAGATGATGTTTGTGGGTGGGTATTGGCACAGATTCCCAAAGAAGGGCCTGATCTGGCCCTGGGAGAGTAAGAAAGTTACAGAGGGCTGGGAGGAGGGCAGTCTTTTGGGACAGGGCTTGTCAGCTTTGTCCAGCAAAAGGGCAGCACCAATGTGATGGGAAGAGAAGTTCTGGCTGAGGAGTGGTGGATTATGGAGCTGAGTTTGGAAGGTACCTAGGAGTCCACTCATGGAGACAATGTCTGGGTGGTGCAAATGATTAATGCACTTGGTTACTAACTGAAAGGTTGGAGTTATGAGTTTGCCAAGAGGTGCCTCAGAAGAAAGCCTGGGAGATCTACTTCCCAAAGATCATAGCCATTGAAAACCCTCTGGAATACAATTCTACTCTGACACACATGGGGTGACCATGAGTTGTAATGGGCCCAACAGCAAATGGTGGTAATCATGGCAAGCTTCGACTCTAAGGTGAGCAGTTTGGATTTCTTCCTGCAGACCCTGGGAGCATGGGGGGTTGTTTAGTAGTGGGTGCCTTGGAAGGTGGATGGAATTAGGGGGTGGGCTGAAACGAGGGTAGACTGTTCAGGGATAGAGTACCTCAGATTTGTCTAGCAAAGGGGAAGGACCTATGAGGTATGTTCCTCTTCTTCAGTCCCACCCCTATATCCTCTAGTCACAGAAGTGTCCCCCAAGCTCCTGATACATCACTTTAATGCCAACAGGCCTTTGCAACAGGGAGAGTTTGGGATCTGGTCTCTATCTTCCCCTCCCTGGCCATCACCAAGATAGCCAGAGATTGTAGCATTCCTGCTATGAGTCTGGTCCCATGGAGTCAGGCTCAATCTGGAGTGTCTTCTGCTTTGAGCTCCACTGAAACCTCTTGGAAACCCTCTAGGTCAGGCGCTGGAGGAAGTCCACCAGCAGGTGCTCAGGGAAGCCAAAGTCCATCTGAAGCAGCAGGTATCCCTATAAGGAAGGGTAGGAGGAGAGGGTCAGGATGGGCCGATGCTTCAAGTGCCAGGGTACCAGGGAGCAAGATGGTGGAAAACCCTCTGCTGGTCTCCCCACAGCCATCTGTCATCCTGAGAATGGGCCTCCCTCCCCAGGAAACAGGGCTGGTGGTATGTCTTTGTACTCACATCCCGGGTGATAATCTCAGGGTTGATGATTTCAAAGAGGTCCAGGCCTTTGCTATTCATGAAGGCTGTAAGTGCCACCTCCAGTCCTGGGGCAGGAAAGAGAGCCAAGACAGCCATTCTTGGGGAGCAGGTTAAGCCTGAGGTTTGTGGCATCCCAGGCATTCAGAGACATCGGGGCCCCTCCAGATCAATATTACATGGACATTGATTTCTCTTTGATTTCCATGAAAAGTCTAGTGCTGCTGGGGACAGGTGGTGGCAGAACTGTCACTCTGCTGTCCTGAGAAATTCCACTCTGCCCCAAACTTGAGCTCCCCCCAACCACTTGGCCACATGGCCTCCAGTTTGTTGGATTGCCCCCACTAGGAAGAAAGCTTAAGGAGTCATTGTCACTGCTCAGGAGTCACTGGGTGGTACAAATGGTTAATGGACTCAGCTGCTAACCGAAAGTTTGGAGATTTGAGTCTACCCAGGTTGAAGTCTTCTAATGCACCTTGGAAGAATGGCCTGGCAATTTATGATAAACCAGCCATTGGAAACTCAATGGAGCACAGTTCTACTCTGACCCACATGGGATTGGCATGAGTTGAAGTTGACTTGATGGCAGAAGGTGGTGGTGGTTGTCGTCACTGCTCAGGCTTACCCTAGGGTCATTCCTCACCCCAAGAAGCTTATCAAAAGCAATTTGCAGCCATATACAGAGTAGTCCTCCTGCAAGGAATTCTAATAACACAGTCTGATTTATTTCCTTAGCACAGATGGGGAAAGTTGAGGTATAGAGAGGCCAAGACACCCAGACAGGGGGATTCTAGCTGAGTGCTTCTACCCACTCCTCCCCTTTCTACCAAAAAAAAAAAAAGTCACATTGCAGACAAGCAGATCCTTGAGTTGGATGCAGGTCTAGCTCAATATACCATATGCCCCATGGAGAAGAAGGCACAACATTCTCACACAGGCCTTCTCCAAAATATCCCCTTTACACCCTGTTATGGAGCTTGAGATTCCACCATTAGTGTCAAGTCTTATGGACAAAGAACCTACCATGTCAAGATCTCAAAGGAATCATCAAGTTCATCATATCAAGTTTAACACTCATTTTACAGGAAGGGAAACTGATTAGGTTAGAATCCAGGTCTTCAACCTCCCAGCCCAGGGCTCTTTCTGCCACATCAGATTGTCATTTGGAGACCTGTTCCCTTAAAGTGTGTTGAGCCACCCATGGGGTGGCAGAGATCATACTCTCCAGGTAAACCAGAACCAAAAGGAGCCCAGTTGGTTCAACGGTTAAATGCTTGGCTGCTAACTGAAAGGTTGGGTTTGAACCCACCTGATGGCTCCATGGGAGAAAGGACTGATAATCTTTTCCTGTAAAGATTACAGTCTAAGAAACTCTATGGAGCAATTCTCCTCTGTCATATGGGGTCACAATAAGTCAAGATCAATTGGATAGCTCCTAACAACAAAAACAACAACAACCCAACACCAGGGTTCAGCGCATCTGGCTACTGAGTGCACTGTCACCAGCAGGGAGAGGTGCCTTGAAGGAAAGACCAGTAAGATTTGATGGCTGGAGAATCAGAGGCACTTGGAGCTCTGAGAAGGGCCTAGAGGATGAAGTGACTGCCTCCCCATCAGGCTCAGTGTCCCCCCACCTCTCCTCCAGCCCACACTTACGAGATGTGACTTCCGGGATGCCCACTGTGGTGACCATCTCCCTCAGGAAGCTCTGGACAGACTCGGAGCTCTGCCAATCAGAGGCCCATCATGAGTACAGTGCTCCCTGGGAGCAGAGAGTCACACAGCTTGAGCGGGCACTTGTCCACCCAATCCATTCCTCTCCTTCTAGGGTTCCCCTGCCCCCACATCAGACAGTACCTCTCCTGAGTGGTTCCTGCTAGACCTTGAGGGGGGCTAGGATTGTTGTCCTGTTCCACAGAGGACAAACCAGCCCAGGGAAGTTTCGGTTGACCAGTACTGTCCTGACAACCCACTTGAGACCACCATGATCCCATTTCCTCAACTCAAGGACTCTGCTACAGACACAATAGGGAGAAGAGTCACAAGAGACTATCTGCTTTAATTTCCGTTGGCCCATTGCCTGATTTCCCTTAGAGTTTCTTGAAGACATGAAGTCCTGCAGGGCTTATTTCTCCCAGTCATCCAAGACCACCTACCTCAGTCAAGTTGAAAACAGTCTTCGGTTCAATTCTGAAACCAAAAAGAGATGAGAGTTTGGCACTCTTTGGGCCCCCTCCCATCAAAAAACCCAAACCAAACTCATTGTCAATGAGTCAATTCCATCTCATAGAAACCCCATTGGGTTTCCAAGGTGGCAAATCTTTATAGAAGTAGATTGTCTCATCTTCCTTCCTTGAGGTGGCTGAGGTTTGAACTATCAACCTTCTGGTTAGCTGTCAAATGCCTCAGGCTACCCCAAAAAAATAAACTTAAACAATGATTAAAGGGCTGCTGCCTAATATTTAAGACCTTCCTGGAAAGAGCTTTATAGAGGCCACTCTTTAGACCTGCCGCCAGGCCTTTGCTCAAGCCATCCCTTCTGCTCTGCCCTCCCTCCATTCTCTGTGGTGCTTCTACCTCCCAATTAAGAGTCTGTGTAGCCTGGATAGAGAGGGAGAACAATGTGGAACAAAACTCAAAATCATTTGGGGGAAAAAAAAAAAGGAGGACACCAGGTTTGCTGGTCTGATAGCGCCTGGTGGAACCACTGAGACTATGGCCCCTAGCTTCCCTTCAGGTCTGAAATTGAACCCATGCCTGTGGCTTCCAGCCAAACAATAGACAGGCATATGAGCTGAACATTTACCTGAGGTAGATACACTCCTTGAAGAGAATAATCATGGGAGAAAGAAGGGCTGCTTGTGCACAGACAGCTCAGAGGGCACGAGTGCATGGAGGGATGGACATAGGAGAGGTAACTATCGGGAGGAACTAGGAGGGGAGCTGTTGCATTGTGGAAAACTGTGGTCAATGTCATGAGACAAAGTGTATGTGAACCGATGTATGGAAAGTGAAATTGCTCTGTAAATTTTCACCCAAATCACAATTAAAAAAAAAAAAAAAAAGAAAAGAGTCTGTATAAGGGGTTTTAGGAGCCCTGGTGGCACAGTGGTTGAGTGCTCTGCTGCTAATAGAACAGTTGGCAGTTCAAATCCATCAGCTGCTCCACAGGAGAAAGATGTGACAGTCTGCTTCCATAAAGATTTCAGCCTTAGAAACCCAATGGGGCACTTCTACTCTGACCTATAGGATCACTATGAATTGGAATTGACTCAATGGCAATGGATTTGCTTTTTGGTAGCGGTCTTATCCCTCTGGCAGTTAGTCGTGGAAGGAAGGAGTCATATTTCCCCAGCAATATCCAATTCCATGCCTGGTACTAGAGAGTCCAGGGAGATATTTGCTGAGTTGGCCACCCACGCCCCTCTCTGCAGCACGTACTGGAAATCCAGGATGCTTAGGAAGAGCTTCTTCTTGGAATAGGAGGCCTGGACAATGGTGGTGATGTGCTGGGGGGAAAAACAGAGTCTCAGTGAGAGCCGGCCTTCCCACAGCAGAGAGCAACCCCCTGCCCAGGACCCTCGCCTCTGCACCAATCAATCAGAGATGTGTAGGGAGCAGTAAGTCTCTGCGGATCTTGGGACCCAGTCTAGGTGTTGACTTTCTGAAAACAGGGGAAAGTTCCTAGCATCTCAGGCTTCATGGTCAGGACTTGAGAAGTCATGTGTGTTGGGTATTTTTTTCTTCTGGTTTCAGCCTTATCCACATTCCAACCACTTCTTCCCTCACTGGTCAGACCAGACCATGTCCACTGGGCATGGACCAGACTTCCCCACATAGCTCACTTCCCCCATCTCCAAACTATCACCAAAGCAACAGAAGCTTAATCTGCTGACAGGTTGATTTATCTATACTTTCACCCTCTAGATTGGCCTTATTCCAAGTAGGGTGCCTGGACCAGCAGCATCACTATCACCTGGGAACTTGTGAAAACTGTAAATTCTCCAGCCTCCCTTAGACCTAAAAAATCAGAAACTCTGTGAGTTGGCCCAGGAATCTGTGTTTTAACAAACTGTCCGGGTGACTCTGATGCATGCCAAAGTTTGAGACCCACTGCACTGGAAAGGTTTCAAACAGCTCCAGAGTCTGAGTAAGGAATTGTACCCTTTCCTGACCATTGATTGTTTTTTCATAGTTCCAGGTGCAGTTAGTTCCAATATAGTCTTTTGTTTGGCTAGTTAGTTATTCTCTCTCTCTCTCTTTCTGTCCATTAGACTACATACACTCCATGAGGTCAGGGACCATGTGGACCTGGCTGAGTGTAAGAACTCAATGGATATTTGTTGAATGAACAAACAAACAAACAAATGCACTGCCGTGAAGTTGGATCTGACTCATAGCAACCCCTCCTTGGGTTTCTGAGGCGGTATCACTACAGAAGTAGATTGCCCAACTTTCCTTCCGAGGAGTGGCTGGTGGGTTTGAACCGCCAGCCTTCTGGTTAGCAGTCAAGTGCCTTAGGCACTATGCCACCAGAGCTCATACAAACAAACAAATAAAAGGACCTGGGGGGTGGAAACTACTGGCTCTGATGTGAATATGACAAATGACCTTAAACAAGTCTCTTGCCAGTTCTTGGCTTCTGGGGTTCCTTTTATATAGCAAAAGGGTAGCCCAGCTGACCCTGGAGGCCTGCTCCATTCTGCCACTCTGGCGGGACTCAGACTGACAGTCCTTAACCCAGCCGACCTGCACCACCAGCCCAGTCATTCCATATCTCCCCCTACTTCCCATTCCAAAGCCTTCTGTGGCTTCTACTCCCTCCTCCTGGCCTTCAAGGCCCCACAGCATGACCTGGCCCGCAATGCTCTCAACCAGAAAGGACACCTCCCCTCACCAACATGTCCTGGCATTCCCCTCTTCAGGTCCTATCTATACTCCTTCCTCAGCAGGACCTCTTTCCCATCACCTCCTCCCTGACCCTTGTGGTCCAGCTAACTCTTCTTCTGGCAGCACTCCCATCAGCTCCTCACACAGAAGTAAGTACACAGATTCCTAAAACCATTTACATACACCCCAAACGCAAAGCAAGAAGGGAAGTCTTCAGGAGCCAGGGCCAAGAGGGAACTCCTAGAAAAGTCAGAGTAGAGGAGGGATGTGAAGCCCCTTAGAACAAAACAGAACATTCTGGCTTTACAGGTCTTTGTTAGAACATGCTAAACTTCCTAGGTCTTTAAATAACAAAACATAGATAGATAAAAAAGAGTTTTTTAAATGTAATGTGAGATCCTTGAATGGAGGACCTTAGTAGAGAAACAAGGGAATCCTGATAAAGTCTGGAGTTTGGCTAATAGTCATTACAAATGCACAATGTCTTAGTCATGACAGATGTACCGTGGTCATGCAAGATGCTAACCACGGGGGAAACTGGGTGAAGGGTAAATAAGAACTCTCTGTATTTCCTTGCAACTTGTCTTCAAATCTAAAATTATTACAGAAGAAAAACATTTATTAAAATGTTGTGGTGGTTATGTTTGTGTGTCAACTTGGCTGGGCCTGGTTGAGTGGCTGGGCAGCTGTTGGTAGTATTCCCCATGATGAGACTGGTAATCAAATCTATGGCAGAATCTACTGTGAGCAGCTGAGTAAGCTGCCTTTGGGTCTCTAGTCTGCTTCCTGTATATAAGGAGAAGCTTTGAGAATGGTCTCTAGTCTATGGCATGCTTGGACTCTGCACGTAGCCTTGTCGTTGCTCAGCAGCCTGCTATGGTCTGCCAACCTTGGGACTTATAATGGACTTAAGTTAATGGCCTGCCATGTGGTTTGGTAACATCGGGACTGTGCCTTTTTACTTGTCAACCTTGGGGCTTCTCAGCCTCAGCAGCCAGCAGCTGTCTGAGTGAAGAAACACTTCTTGCTCCAGTGGGCTGGGAGCAGGAGGCAGAGCTGGACCCCAAGGTTGAGGGGATTTCACCCAGCCCCTAGAGCCTGACACTTTGAACTTGGACTTAAAGCCTTCAAATTGTAAGAATAAACTCCTGTTGTTAAGGTCATCCCATTTGTGGTATATTCTTGTCAGAGCGGTACTAGGTAATCAGAACAAACGTAATAAAAAAACATCAGAAGGAAATGCACCCAGTGTCCCCAGCGGAGGTCTCTGGGAAAGGCGTTCTGAGTGACTGTGATTTTGGTCCTTATTCTTGTCTATATTTTCCAAAATGTCCATACATTACTTTTATCTTTAGCTTTCAATGTGTTACGAAATATTGAAGACATACAAAAAGGCCTTAGGGGCAATCCTGGTCCTCAATTCCTTATCTACAATTCCAAAATCAAACAAAACCTGAAAAGGAAAAAGTTTTTTTTTTTTTTTTTTTCATTCAGTTTGTCAGCAAAAAGCCTGGCCATTTGGATAGGATGCCATTTATAGTCTTTATCTTGCTTCCTGTGAATATTCATATGTAGGAGAAATATCAAGTGTTTGATTGTGGGAGTGTTCTGTAATATAGCATATACACCTTACTAAAAGCCACAAAATTCTGAATTTGTAACCTCTTGTGGCCCCAGTGGACATGGACAGGAGTTGTGGACCTGTGTAACAGACACCCACGTCCTACCACTCAGCTGAAGAAATAAAATAGTACCCAAATTGTTGAAGGCCCCTTCAGAACTTGTATCGTATCATCATATGCTAACACTTGTGCCATAATTTGTATCAGAAGGAAAATCATGCTGAAGAGACAACCAATCACAGTGGAGAAGAATTTGGAAGTTTCAGAGGCCCTCAGATTCCTGGCTCAGATGTGCCCTCTGTGGATCAGCTCCCCTGCTCCCCACCTTTAATAGCATCCATCTCACCTCTTCAAAAGTGTAAGCCACAAACGGTTGCCTGTCTGGATGTGGGATGAGAAATTTCACCATCACGGAAGAACTGACCACGACGCCCTGATTTTGGCAGGTGATCTTGGGCATCTTGAGGCACTGGGTGGTTACTTGGACCTGGCTGGTGGGGAAGCCACCAAAAAGCTGTGGGAGACAAGGACCCCATGTCCGGGACAAGGACTAGTCAGAACTGTAGTCACTGTCCTCAGAGATGGAGGGGTAAAGCTGACTTGGGGTCTCAGGGCTGGGAAGAAAGGAAGCAGATGTGGGTAATGGCTTAAGCCTGAGCCCTAGGCCTAATTTGTCTTGTGATTTGGGAATGACTCTGGTCCTCTCTGGCCCTCAGTTTTCTCTTCTGTGTAACAGTGAAGCTATTCCTTGTCTGCTCACATCTCAGGGTGTGGTAAGAATGACTTCACTTAGCCTTCTCTGCCTTACTTTCTTATTTGTTAAATGAGATGGTCTCTACCTTTAGGAAGCTCAACAGATAGTAAATAATCTCATAAATAAGTGTAAAGTTGCAACTGTGCAGTATCTCAAAGGAAAAAGCACATCAGGTAACAAGAGACCTCAAGAAGCCACCTGAGTTAATGAAAGATGAGGAAGGCCTTCCCTGAAGATGAGGAGGAGTCAGATATGGGAGTGGGGGTGGGGAGGGGAGTGAGAAAAGCATTCTGGGTGGAGGGAACAGCATGAGCAAAAGCTCTGTGGGAAGGAATATGGCCAATATAAGGAATAGCAGGCAGCCAGTGGTGTTGGAAAGTGTGGCCTGAGGTAGACTGGAGTGGTCAGCAGGACCTCTGATCTTCAGACTGTTGGACTGAGCTCAGAGAGCCCTCTCTTCACATAAAAATGGAACCAACAGACACAGTACAACAAAGGTTTTATTTAATACATAGATGAGCTCAAAATAAAGAAGGGACAATCCTAAGGACTAGAGAAGAGTGAATTGAAAGTCATAACTGTTAGCAAGTGGCTCAAAGAGAAAAGGACTCAGATGTTGGTTCAAATCACATTGGTGTGTGGTTTTAACAGCTTCAGGGGATAAGTAGTGAGATGAGGTGGAAGAAAGAATTTTCCCTTCAGTGAAATGGAGACTGAAAGACTTAACAAAGGAAGTCACAAGGAGTGTTGGGGTAGGGGCAGGGTTATAAAAGGAAAACCTAAGCCCATGCCCAGAGTATGTATCAATACCACCAGCATTTGCAGGGCTTCCTGAGCTGATAAATTAGCATAAAAAACAAAGAGTGTGATCTCTGGGCTCCCCAGTAGAAATAAATGCAAAACCACTCTCTAGAGGCATTTAGGTAACATAGGAAGCAGAGTATGCCCACATGAAAACCAACCCCACTAAATATGATCTTACAAATAGAAAAAAGATTACAAACCACACAAAGAAACCATCTGCCCTGAGCTAGCAAGCCCAACAAATAAGTGGATAAGTACTTCAAGAATCTGACAGAACAATCTAGAAGAAATTATAAGGTATTCATTTTTAAATGATTAAAGGAAGAAGCCATAGCAAAATGGCAAGACTCCAGAGGAAAAAGAACAGCTAGATTTGAAAAACAATTCAACAGAATTTCTATATATGAAAAAATGTAGATAGATATTGAAATGAAAAATCCAGTGGATGAGTAAACAGATTAGATACAGTTGTAAAAGAATTAGAGAAATGAAAAAGATGCTTCAAGAAATTGTCCATAATTTAGTATAGAGATATAAAGAGATGGGAAATACGAGAGAGCAACTAGGACATGGAAGATGGAATGAGAAGGCCCAACATATGTCTAAGGGAAATTCAAGAAGTTGAGAATAGAGAGAATGGAGGAAAGGCAATAATCAAAGAGTTGGTGGCTGAGTAATTGAAAATCATGCTGGGTTCTAAGCAGGATGTATAAAACTAAATCCACATCTTTTTGGGGGAAAATGCTGAACCCCTAAAGTCAAAGAGAAAAACCTTAAAAGTATCCTTAGAGAAACAACTAGATTTAGAGGTAGACAGAGGCTAGAAAATACAGGCCCCTGCAGGCCATGTTGGAGAATTTTGCCTATATCCTAAGAGTCTTATCTATAAAGGATTCGTTTTTAAGAAGATGGGTGAGTAATCGATGTTGCTTCTTGAAAAGATCATTCCAACTCCTGCGAGGGAACAGATTGTGTGAGCATCAGGATGCAGGGAGAGCCACTAGGAGGCTGTAGAAGGGTCCCACAAGAGATCATTATAGCTTGGCCTTTTATGATCCTTTATGTAGGGTGGAGTTACAGACAGAGTGAAGTGGACAGACTATAGAAATATTTAGGACATAAAACAGACAGGACATGGTGATGGGAGTGAGGGAGAAGAAGGGGGTCAAGGGCATGCCTAATATTCTGAGTTGCAGACCTGGAAGGAGCAAGAGAGAAAGAAATACTGATTCACAGAGCTGGGAACAGAAAGGGCAGATCTGAGCTTCAGAAGGTTAGAGGACATTAGAACAGGCAAAGGATAGTAGGAAGGCACAGGTGTAGGTGAATTAGTAGGACTGGCAGCAGGAAGAGGAGGGAGAAGTTCTATTGATGGCACAGCCTAGCTCCAGGAAGTAGGAGGCAAGATGGTTTGCAGAGCAGAAGCTGGAAGTTGGACGGAGGGGACAGCAGGAGATTTGAGGATAGAAGGGAAGGACTGAAGAAGTCACTGCAGATGGTAGGGGCAGCGAGTTGACTAGGAAGCCGAGAAAGGATACCCACAAAGGACAAGGGTACATTGGAGGAAGGGGGTCGTGGGTTCCTAATGAAACCTTTCGTTAAGGAGTGAGATTATGGACATCACTCCTACAAGGCAGAGCAGATAGAAACTGTCATCTCCAAGGGGCTTGCCCGAGGTTGACTTTGGAATTAGGAGCAAACAACAGTAGCATCCTCTTGCTGGGGCCCTCTGAGCCTAGGGCTGCTTCCCACGGGCCCAGCCCCACACCATGGGTAATGACCATTGAGTAGGGACATGGAACACAGTCTTTGGGGGCCACACAGCCATGCTCAAACTCAGCTCTGCCATTTACTAAATGGAACATTCTGGTCAATCTGTGGGCCTTTCTGCATCTCAGTTTCCCTGTAAGTAAAACAAAGATCATAAAAGTGCCTCCCACTCTGAGCACTGAAGGAAGTGATGTAATACAGCGTTTAGCTCAGTGCCTGCCACCTAGAGGGAACCTAGTGCAAGCTAATAATTAGTGTCGTCATTGTTGTTATTGACTTTCACTCCCTGATTCAACAGCAGGAATCGGGTGTGCATGAGATTAAACCCACCCAGGGGGGTTATTACCTCCTGAAAGATATCCTGGCTGATGTTGAGGCCTTGGGTCTCCAGCATGGTCTAAACAGAGATGGAGAAGGTGTATGGGTTAATAGGAAGGCCAGCCTTCAGAAGGAAACTTTGCCGGGGTGGGGGGAGAGTTTCAGTGTCTGCATCCCTCCCCAGACCCAACTCCCAGCCCACCCCAGATAAGATATGAGGAGGTCTGGGCAGGGCGTGGGGAGAGGAAGCCCCTGACCAGCATCCGAAGGCCTGGCTTTCAGCCCCTGCTGCTCTGTCACTCACAGGCTGCTTAACTGGGCAAGTTCCTTCCCTTCTCACTTTCCACACTGGTTCCATGATAAACATTGAGAACTACCTAAGTATCTTAGTGTAAGGTTAGAGTGTAGGCTTCGGAACCACCTGTTATGAGCTATGTGATCCTGAGCAAGCCACCCACCCTCTCTAAGTCTGGATTTGATTTCTTCTGTAAAACGGAACAATAGTACTCACCTCACAGAGTGAGTACAACAAAGGTGTTAATATCAGCTTATACTTACTGCACATTTACTGTGTGCCGAGCTTTATATACACATCAAAGCACACCAGCATAGCTGGGCTGCTGTTGAGTCCATCTAAGTCACGATGACCCCTGTGTGTTAAAGAGGAACTACACTCATAGGATTTTCAATGGCTGTGATCCTTTGGAAGTAGGTCACCAAGCCTTTCTCTAAGGCGTTTTTGGGTGGATTGAAACTGCCAAACTTTCAGTTAGTAGCCAAGTGCTTAATTGTTTGTGCCACCCAGGGACTTATCAGTCACATAGTAGGCCCCAATAGATGCTGAACTTAAGTATTTTTGCTCCGGCTTAGACAGTCTGTGACTCCTTTGCCTGCCTCCCAGAGTTCCCTTCCCCTCCACACGCATGTGTATACCTACATACATATTACACACATGCATGGCTTCCCCTATCAGCCCAGCCCACCTCACTCACCTTGAACTCATCCCCTGTCAGGCTGAGCACGAGACGGCCCTCCTGGAAGATTGCCTTGGCCAAGGAGTCAAGAACTTGCTCAGAGAACCAGAAATACAGCATGTGGGTGTCCCCCAGAAGGCTGGGTGAGAAGGTGGGGAGGGAGAGGTCCTCGGAGACATTTTTATAGATGACATGACCCTGGAGAAAGCCGAGGTGCTGCCTGGACTCTCCCCTCCCCTTCCCCACAGATCAGCTTCAGCCCAGAACACAGGTGGGGAAATTGAAGAAGAGCTACATCAGAATTAACAAGTACTTCCCAAGTGTCTGCTATGCCCCAACCATCATGTAAGATGAACCAGACAGATGTGGGCCCCACCCCACATGGCTCTGATTCCAGCAAGGATGGTCATCAGAACACTCGTGCTCCCATGTCCACCCTGGCTGACCACCAGGCCCTGCACAAATTGGCTGAGCAGACAGCTCATTGGCCACCAGCTCCTGACAGCTGAAGTCAGGAGAACAAGCCACTGCCCAGTTCCTGGCCCCTTTCGTATCATCCAGCCCAGCAGTCTGTCTGCAAATGGGCTTCAGGAGTATCTACAAACCCCTGAAATGAACATTTTGTGTGCTTTTCTGGGGAGAAGCTCTACCACAGAGATGGTCAGTTGTCCCCTAAAATCCATTCTCCCCATCTCTCCCAGAGTTTTGGAACACCTGATTTTTAGCTGGGCTCATGGCTATACTGAATAAATTTCTCAGCTTCCCTAGCAGCTAGGTGTGGCCATGTGACCAAGAAGAAAGCAGAAGTGATAGGTTCAACTTCCAGCTCCTGTCCTTAAATGGAAGGCCCCACCCCACCCCTGCCTTTCTGCATTCTCTGACTGGAAGTAGATGTGGTGGTGGTCAGGTGAGCCACCTTGGCCCATGTGAATGAGGACTACACCCTAGGGAAGATGGAGCAACACAATGGAAAGAGCCTGGACCCTGTAGAGCCCCCCAGTCCTCCCTGGACTGTGTACACCTGGACTATTACGTGTGTGAGAGAAATAAATGTCTATCTTGTTTAAGCTGTTACCATTGTGAGTCTTTCTGTTACAGCAGCAGAACTTATATCCAAAGTAATAGAGGGTCCAAAGGTTTTGTGAGATCCTCCTGGGGGTGGGGGTGACTCCCTCAAACCACTGGTGTAAAGGTTGACAAAAGCCAGTGAGCCCTCTAGGAAGGGGCTGGTACTTCACTAGGACCCTTGGAGTAGGCAGCCCTGGTGCCCGCCAAGAGGGCTCAGGCTGAGGGCCCTGCCTTCCCTGTGGTATCAGGAAAGACCCTGAGGAGGGTGCAGTAGTGGGGTCTTGACCGTGGGCTGGGCCTGGCTGGTGTGGGTTCTTGGCTTCTATAGGGTTGAAGCTCGGGGCTGAGTGTCAGGGCACATGCAAGCACCCAGCCTGATGAGCACCCAGACAGGTGGAGCCCCTGTTCCCACCCTCCCACCATTCCCACCTTGTGATGAGACTCCAGGTAGGTGCCTTTGATGACAGGTGATCCTGTCAGGGAAATGTCCACCTCAGTGTCTCTGTCCGAGAGGAAGTCAGCTGTGGGGAGGGAAATAGCAAGACGGGGCCTCAGGTTCCAGGAACCAGCCCACGGCGACCGAGACTGGGGTCTGGTTCCACCTGCCCCATTTACTGACAATTCCCTCTCCACAAACAGGTGCCCTCAGCCCCCAACCCCAGTGTTCCCATCTGCAAAGTGGGTCCTGGGGTGCATAGGGTCAGGGAAACAACTTGCCATAGCCTGACCATAAGTAATCACCATGTGTCAGAGTCAGACCAAGGGCCGTGAGACCCAGCCAGGGGGAGTGGCTGTCTCAAGGTCACACCATGACTGTAGGTGACCTTCTGGTTCCCACACTGCCTTCCAAGGCACGCAGGCCAAGATAAACTCACCAGCCCTTCTCTGGACAAAATCGGCCATGATGTTTGCAATGACATTGATCTCTTTGCAGACCTGAAGAGGAGGCCAGAGTGGGGGGTGAGGATGGGGCCTCTTTCTAGCTGAGTGGGGTGGTGGCAGCACTGGAAATGGGCACAAACGGCTGCCCACAGTGGGCAGTTTCTCAAAGAAGTGCAGGGAGGGAGATGCGCCCAGCCTCCTGGGCATGACCCTGGCCAGCTCAGCTCTCCCCAAGGAGGACAGGCAGGGCTGGGTGGGCCCAGCAGGCCTTACTCACCTGTCCTTTCAGGACCAGCTTCAGGGTGAAGGAGATGAAGTTTGTGAACAGTTGCTTGATCCACCCGGGCCTGAGGTGAGCAAGCATACAGTGAGTGCCTCCTAGCCCTGAGTGGTCCGTGAGCACCCACTGCTTAGGGCTCTGCCAGGACCTGCTACTGTCCGGGATGTAGACCTCATCATGTCCATTTCACAGCTCAGAACACTGAGCCTCAGAGAAGCAAAGCCGCTCCCAAGGGCTCACAGGGCTTGGATTCAGACCTGAACAGTCACCACCGCACCATCCCAGCCCACTGGGCCCCATTTCCATGAAGCTCACACCCGTCACACACTCACACACATGGCCATGCTTCCAGATCCATGTCTGCCCATCCATGGGCAGAGAGGCCTGAACTCAGGGTTCCTCCCCACGCCCGCCCCAAGGTCCCTCCTATTGGGATTGCCACTGGTTGTGTGACTTGTGCATGTCCCTCTCTGAGCCTCAGTGGCCTCCTCTGTGCAACCGGTGACTCACAGCTCCTTGACAGGGGATTATCCAAGACAAAGAGCCCCTGTCACTGGAGACCTGGAAAGCAGAGTGCTGGGAGCTCAGGTTCCAGGGCCACAGGACGCTGGATACAACACTACCCACCCCCCCCTGCCCCCCCCCCTTTACTGGTGAGCTGTGTGTCCTTGGGCAAGTTACTTAACTTCTCTGAGCCAATTTCCACATCTTTAAAGTGGAGATAATAAGACCACCTGCTCCAAAATTGTTGTGGGGATTCAATTAACTGCGTTAACACGGTGCCTGGCCCACAGAAGCAGGCACTGGCTAGGAAATGTACCTGTGGATTAGTGTGACACCTGTGATGCAGGATGTACTCAGTGGATGAGGATTTTTCTCTCCTCCTTAGCTTTTCTGTGCCTCAGTTTCCCCACAAGTAAAAATGGGCACAAAAGCAGTCGGTCTCCTAGGTTTGGCTTGGGAAAGTGCTCGGTACACAGCAAATTCTCAACAATCAGTAATTCTTGTTTCCAGCCCTTCCAGCGTACTGATGGAAGAGGAAATGACCCCACTGAGGATGCTGGTCTCCCCCAGGTTTGGCTGCCCACAGGGCAGTGGACAAACCACCCTCCACACTCAGGGGCTCACAGGGACAGGACGGGGCACAGAGGTTCAACACTTACTCGCGCTCCCCGTGGAGATTCAGGAGCAGCTTGTGGAAAGACAGGGAGCAGTCATGGGTATTGGCCTGCACGCGGCCAGAGTCGCAGGCTGCAGAAAGGCCCCAATGCCATGTCAGGCAGCCTCAGCCACCGTGAGGTGCCCACATGCTGCCTGGGCCAGTGGGAGCTTGACCAGCTCTGGGCCTCCCAATGCACTTCCCAACTGTGCCTCCTTTGACAGCCTCAGAACCCTCTGTCTGCCACCCCTATTTCCCACCAGGCCAGCCCCTGGAGTGTGACCTCCCTGCCTCCCCAGAGAACAGAGTGCATACTCAGCTTCGTGTTGATTTGGAGGTCAATGGCGGAGTTGATCTCAAAGTCCACAAACTGATCAATGCCCAATCTGCAAAGAGCCAAAGACGCAGGAAGCTTGCTCTGCCCTCTAGACCAGAATGGGGCAGGGGACTGGTTCAGGCCTCACAGCATATCGGCTAAGTGGGAATGCTCACCCCCAGGCACCGGTGTAGCCGTAGTTCAGGGTCCCCTTAAAGATCACAGACACATTCTGGATGGAGATGTCAATGGACTTGTCTTCGATCAGCTCAACCTGGCTGCTGGCGATGGACAGGTTGCTGATCTGGATGCTGGGAGAAGAGTGGAGGGGTGGTGGGTGTGCATCGTGGGGCCCAGGGAGAGGGGGAGGTACTTTTTGTCACACCCACACTTGCTCAACCATGCACTGCACTGGCAGAAGCCCTGTGTTTCCCTCCTGAAGCTCAGAGTCACCCTCACAGACTGGGTCATCTAGGGACCCCCAATGGGTGAACCTCCAGCTCTACCTGGGGGACCAGTGAGGGTGTGGCAGGAGGAATAAGACCTCCAAAGGCGGCCATATCCTAAACTCCCAGAAATTGTGACTATGTTGCCTTACAAGGCAAAAGGCAATCTGCAAACACCTTGAGGTGGGGAGGTGATCGTGGACTACCTGGGTGGGCCAAGTGTAATCACAAAAGCCTTGAAGAGTGGAAGGAGGAGACAGAAGAGGAGAGGCAGAACAGACTGTGACTGTGGAAGAATGCTCCAAAGATGCAGCATTGTAGGCTCTGAAGAAGGAGACAGGGCCATGAGCAAGGAATGTGGGTGGCTTCTAGAAGCTGAGAAAGGATAAGAAAAGGATTCTTCCCTAGAGCCTCCAGAAAATGCAGCCTTGATGGCATCTTGACTGAGCCAGGTGAGAACCTTGCTGGATCTCAGAACTGTAAAATAGTAAATATGTGTTCATTTGTTACGGCGACAATGGAGAACTAATCCAGAGGGCTTCCTTGAGGAGGTGATGGTGGAGAGGAAGGTGTGTAGGAGTTTAACAGGATGAGGGGGCAGTTGGAGGAGACTAGGGAAGGCTTGGCTCAGAAGGTGAGCCATGCAGGGAGTATGCTCAGAGGGGGGTTTCAGGGAAGACCCCAGAGGGCAGAGACCAGACGAAGGGAGGACAGTGAGACACAATCAGTATTTTAGAATGAGATCACTGGGTCCTTCTCAGTTTGTCTTAGTCTGACAAACCCAGCATCGGCAAGTCAGATGGCAGGCTGTTGGCTCAAGTTCCAAGAACCAGAGGTCAGAGGATGACGAGATGAATGCAGGATCCAGAGAGAATATAATGTAATCACCACTACAATTTACTGTGCCAGCAAGGAGAATCCAAGTATATCTGTTTTATCCCTCTCTCTCTCTCTTCTATTCATTATTTTTTGATAGAATAGCATAAAGCATTCTCATTACACCCACGATCCAGCCTCAACTAATATCCTTCATGGCCCATCATCTCTCTCTATTCATCCATAGCTGTTTTGGATCAAAGTTTGAATGAATGAAATTGATTCTATAGCAGTCTGGGTTTATAGAATTAATCATTGCTGGCCTTTTAAGGATGATCTCTCAGCTTTTCCAGGCTCTTTTGCCATCTCTGATCTCTTGTGATGAGGTCAAGGGTGGCATTATCCTCCTTTCACAGAAGAGGAAACTGAAGGCCAGGGTTACACAGAGAGCCAGGGGCTGGGCTAGGGTGGGGAGGAGCTTTTCTCTGGGAAGGTAAAGCGGTATTCAAGAGTCACCAGTGACCCCTAGTGTTTTGAAAACGTAAGAACTCCAGGGCCAAGTTACCTGTGTAGAGTCCACCTGTGCTTTGTTTTGGGAGGAGGGAGGCGAGACTGGTTTTGAAACAAACAAAAGATCTCTTCTTGGGGAACTTCAGACAGGCGCACAGAGGCATACAGACATGGACACAGGTGCCAGGGCAGCCTGAAGGGCCAGGAAGGCATCTGTGTTCCAGGAACAAAGCCAAGCTTTGTGTTCAGGCCTGTTTCATACGTGGTCTCCGTGCCTCACTATGTAACTTCTAAGCTTTTGAACCATCTGTGGTGCAGACAAGGTACAAATAGCTAATGCTCTAACTGAAAGGTTGGCACCTAGGCAACCCTGGCAACGTACTCCTGAAAAATCAGTCATGAAACCCCTAAGGAGCCCAGCTCTCCTCAGAAGCATATGGGGCTGTGATGAGTTGGAGTCTACTTGATGGCCACTGATTTCAATGGGTGCAGATGAGATGAGATGGTCCATAGAATGCCCTCAGCTGTTACTATCATCCCAAGACAAGTCATGAGAACCACTTTACCAAGAGTCCATTCTATCCCACCTCCCCTTATCCCAAATGTGCCCCTATCTGCCTTGGGCAGTGGAAACAGACCCTATCAGGGTCTGCTAGGGCACTTGACATATGACAATAAATCCCCACAGATGTGGAGGTGAGGGTGGAGTGGAGGATAAGATGAAAAATCGTGGCTGGTGAGGGGAGGCTCTGGACTTCTGCCCATAGTGTCAAGTCTACTGGAAACACCTGAGTCCTGGCTGTCCTTCCTTGCTGTGGGCTGAGGGCAAGTTCCAGGCTCTGCTCCCCACCAATCTGTTCAAATCCAGGCCCAACTCACTTGTGCAGACCATACTTGACTTGGCCAAGGAACATCATGGCCTTCTCGCCCTTGATGTCTGGGTAGCTGGCTCGCTGGAAGGCTGTCTGGATCACCTTCGTGGTCTCCTGGTTCACTGGAAGAGAGGGCGGGGGCTTGGACTCTTGGGATGAGGCTGAGGCCTTCCATCAAACCTCAAATCAGAGGGGCTGGGCTACCCTCATTCTGGTGTAAGTCAAATGACCATTCTCTGGGGACATAGAGCCCTGATGTCTGACCCCAGCTAGAGATCCCAGCCTCTGGATCCTGACAGTCATGGTCTTAGTCAAATGGCATCCCTGATTCCAGCCACACACTGACCCCAGGCTCACCCAGACCAGGCTGAGACCCTCAATTCAAACCTCCAATGTACAAAGTCTACAATCCTGTGTCTCACACTTTGGGACCATCTGTTTCAGAGGTCATTGCATTTCATCTCCCTTGTTGTATTGAAGGAGCTCTGTGGCGTAGTGCCTAAGGTATTTGATTGCTAACCAGAAGGCTGATAGTTCAACCCCACCAACCACTCCTCGGAAGGAAGATTGGGCAATCTAGTTCTGTAGAGATACTGCCTTGGAAACCCAAGGAGGGGTCTCTATGAGTCGGAACCGACTTGATGGCAGAGAGTTTGGTTTTGGTTTTTGATTTTGTTGTACTGAGCATGAGACTGAGGCCCAGAGAGGGGAGAGGAGCTGCCCAAGGCTACACAGTAGTCAGTGACACAGCTGTCCCAGCCTGGACTCATGCTGACCCCTGGCCCTATCCATAAAATGGCCTTTAACACCAAACACATGCTGACCTCCTAACCTTCACCAGAGCCTGACCCCCCACCTGGTTCTGCTCTGAACCTTAACTGAAGCTCAGATTGACTCTGAGTTCCAGATAAACACTAACTCCTACTCTCATCAGAGAGCTTGACCTAGAAGGTGAAGTCACGAGAGAGTGAGAGAGGCTCTACTTAGCCCATTGCACTGCAGGACACTTCCCTCCCCGGGCTAAAGCTGCACGCAGAGGCTCCTGGCTCTAGGGCTGGCTTCTGGCCAGGGAGGCCCCTGGCACAGTGGATGTCCTTAAGAGGAGCCCTGGATGGATAGACGGATGGGTGGACAGACAGACGGGTTGAACAGAAGGGCAGCAGTGGTACTTACACACCAGGGTGGCAGGCTTGGTAATACGGCACACGATGCCGGCCTCATAGGCGGTGACTTTGGGGTGGGCATGGGCACCTCCCAGCAGGGCCAGGACCAGCAGAGTGGCAGCGAGCATGTTCCCGGGCAGCGGCAGGCGAGTGGCCCCAGTAGCCGGCCTGGAGCTCTTATGTACATGTCCACCCAGCCCCCACAGAACATGCGGCACTTCCGGAGCAGAAGGGTCTTCCCTGCTTGAGGCAGCTTCCTGGCCCTGGGCATTTGCCGCCTTCCTGCCCAGCCCCTCCAGCTTCCTGCAGGTTCAGAGCTGGCCGTCCAACCAGGGTACCCAGCCCTTCGTCTCCCCGTAACCATCCAGACCAGTGTTGCCCACTCCTGTCGTAACTGGAAAATGATTTCTTTAATGCTTTTTCTAGAATTTCTTCTTCTTCTTCTTCTTCTTTTTTTTAACGTAAATAAATGTATCTAAAAATAAACTCTCTTACGTGCCATGAATAGACAGAGGCCAAGAATATAATGACAATACAACAAAGACATTCAATTCTTGTCAGATACTGTTGTCTGACAGTAACCCCAAGTTTGAGGCCTGTTGTTGCATGTAAATTAAAGCCAATTTAAAAAATAAAAGGAGGGGCCTTTGTGGGTGTTGCAGACACCCTAGCGCGGACCCTTTCATTTGCTGTAATTTGAAAGATTGAAAAGACCTAATGTCCCCACCATCTTACTCTGCGGGATTTATTGCTGTATCCATGTACCACGTAGCATAGCTCACATTCTCCCTGAAGCCTGTCTCCAACTTTGGGAAGTTCTGCTTCAGAGATCATTACATTTAGCTTCCCTTAGTGTATTAAGTGGGAGCTCTGGTAGCTTAGTGCCTAAGGCCTCTGACTGCTAACCAGAAGGTTGGCGGTTCAAACCCACCAGCCACTCCTCAGAAGGAAGATGGGGCAATCTACTTCCATAGTGATAACTGCCTCAGAAACCCAAGGAGGGGTTGGGTCCGACTTGACGGCACATAACAACAACAACAACAACAAGTGTATTAAGCATGGACTTCCTGGATGGCACAAACAGTTATGCTAACTGAACAGTGTAAGGTGCAAGTTCACCTGGAAGCACCTCAGAAGAAAGGCTGGTGGCCTGCTTCTGAAGAATCAGCCCTCTGAGAGCCCATCGGAGCCCAGCTCTCCACACGGCTCTACTCTGGCACACTCGGGGTCGCCTTGGGTCAGAGCTGGCGCAACAGCAGCTGCTTTTTGCATGTGGCTGCTGACCAAAAGCTCAGTGGTTTGAACCCACTAGCTACTCCATGGAAGAAAGATGGGCACTCTGCTTCCGTAAAGATTTACAGCCTCAGAAACCCAACGGGGGTCGCTATGCATCACAATCAACTCCATGGCAGTGAGTTTGATTTGGTTTTGGTTTACTAGGTGGCAACATGAGGGTGAGGGAGTGAGATAGTGGCTGGCCCCTCCTCTCAGATGCGTCTCAGTTAGACGCACGGACACTGGCAGAGGCTCAGGTATGGTGGCCTCCTGTCCACCTCCCAGAAACAGGAGTGACTTGGCTACCTGCTGAGTAATGTTATCCACTGTTCAGGAGCTCTTATCATGGGCCTGCAAGTCTGTGAGGGCCAGGCTACGACTGCCTTGTATCCACAGAGTAGGTGCTTGGCACATAGTAATTCACTGCTATCGAGTCAGTTCAACTCATAGCGACCCCTCCTTGGGTTTCCAAGGCAGTATGTCTATGGAAGTAGGTTGCCCAATCTGCCTTCCGAGGAGTGGCTGGTGGGTTTGAACCACCAGCCTTCTGGTTAGCAGTCAAATGCCTTACGCACTATGCCAATAAATGTTTGTTGAATGAAGAAATGTCGGGTGTTACGCTGGCTCTTCACATGCCTTACCGTATTCAGCTCTCACAATGACCCTGTGAGTAGCTATAACTTTTATCACATGGGGGATTTGAGCTCAGAAAGGTCTAGGTCACACAGCTGATGGGCATCAGAGCCAAGGCTTTAACTAGAAACCCATGTTCTGTCATGATCTGGAAAGTGTTAACAACAACCCCCGTCTCCTCCTAGCCCCTCCTTTCCCAAAGGGCAGCCAATTGGACCAAAAAGCTCCTAAGCCTTGGCTGGCAGTGCGGACAGGCTTCACACAGCGATCCCGCTCCCTCACCCAGTGACAGGCTAGGCTGTGCTCAGCCAGCAGAGTGCTTGCTCGCATTTAGCACAAGGCTTTCACAAACCCCTGAAATGGATCAAGTGTCAGGTAGCCAGCTCCTGACTCATGCACTTTGTGAACTCGGATTGTCACTAGGTTCTCTCTGAGTCCAGCTACTTCATCTGTAAGATGCGAATGTGTTGATCCCTGTCTTTTGCACTCAAGGAAATAAAGGGAGTGGACCCTCTAAAGAGGCCTTGATATTGACTTGTGCATGCTACGCATAAAGTACTTCTGCATGGAGACAGAAGTCACTGAAGATGTGGCTTGCTTCTAGGAGGATATGAGTGTCAGGGAGAAAGGGTAGGGGACTTGTGTGACTTTTGAAGATAGAGTCATATGAATGTGTTTATTGAAAAAAAAAATGACCACATACAGTAATTTACCCACAGTTAGGGCCCCAAATTCCCCTATGGCAGCTGTGACCCATGGCTAACTCCTTCTCCACTTTCTCCTAGACCCTGGGTTGTGGGGAAGTCAGGGCCGCAGGGAGATGGGCAGGATGCCAGGCCCAAAGGGACGCCAAGGGAATGCCGAGTCGGTGGGCTTGCTCAGGAGCCTCCCAGCCCTGTGTTCTGTTTCCACTTGGAACCCAACATGGCCCAGAAACACACACAGGACAGAGCTGAGCCCAGGCTGGGAGAGGCAGATCTACCCTAGGACACTCAGTCCTCGTGCATTCTCACCCACAGCCATCATCATGTGGGCTCCCCTCAGCTGAGTGGCTGCCTGCCCACTGGCCTTGCCAGGGTGGGGGCTGGAGGACAGCAGTTTAGTCCAGGCCTCCTTACAACCCCACCCAGGGCTGGGGCACCATTTCTGGGAGCAGAGGACTTCCTGTGCTATTGTCTTCTGGCGACTGTTAATGTTCCACTTCTGGGGCAGTGCAGGGCAATGACCGAGGGTGCCCCAGGCCAGGCTCCTGGCAGTCAGCAGTGGTGCCTGGAGAGGAGGGAAAGGCCTGCTCTCGGCTTCTAGAGTTGCCAGGTGCCAGAAGCCCATGGGATAAGTGATTGAAAAACAAATGAACCTACACAGAAAAATTTAGAACTCTGCATCTTAGACTTAAAACTTTTAATAGGGCACAGCTAACCACCCAGAGGGAGTGAGTAGTTGGACCCACGAGCTCGGGACCATGGTGGCAGGGGATATCGAGCTCAACGGGCACAACATGCTACACAAAAACATTGTTCCACCTCCAACTTTCATGAGTAGCGACTGTCCTAAAAGCTTGCAAGTGGCCATCTAGATACAACAATGGGTCTCTCCTCATCCAAAGAAGAATGAAGAAAACCAAAGATGCATGGGAACAATTAGCCCAAGAGACTAGTAGACCATGCGATCTTCAGCCTATATGACTATGAGACCAGAAGAACTGGATGGTGCCCGGCTACCACTGTCAATGATTCAGAGGGGGATCCGTGCAGGAGATCCTGGATAGAGTGGGAGAACAATGTGGAACAAAACTCAAAATCATTAAAAAAAAAAAAAAAATCAGGTTTACTGATCTAATTTAAGAGCCTAGTGAGACCCCTGAGACTATGGCCCCTGTGGTGGTTAAGTTTGTGTGCCAACTTGGCTGGGCCTGGTTGAGTGGCTGGGCACTTAGATGTAGTGTTCTCCATGATGAGACTGGTAATCAACTCCATGGTGGAATCTACTGTGAGGAGCTGAGTAGCTGCCTTTGGGTATGTGGTCTGCTTCCTGTATATAAGAAACGCTTTGGGGAATGGTCTCTAGGTTATGGCACGCTTGGACCCTGCATGTAGCCATGTCGTTGTTCAGCAGCCTGCTATGCCTGGCCAACCTTGGAACTTTCCATGGATTTGAATTAATGACCCGCCATGTAGTTTGGTAATATCAGGACTGTGCCATTTTATTTGTCGACCTTGGGCTTGTTAGCCTCAGCAGCTAGTAGCTGCCTGAGTGAAGAGATACCCCAGTAGGCTGGGAGCAGGAGGCAGAGCTGAAGGTCAAGGTTGAGGGGTTTTCATCCAGCCCTGAGAGCTTGGCACTTTGAACTTAATGCCTCCAAACTGTAAGAGAATAAACTCCTGTTTGTTAAGGCCATCTCGTTTGTGGTAGATTCCTGTCAGAGCGGCTGTAGGTAACTAGACCAGCCTTTAATTACCTTTCAGGTCTGGAGCTGAACTTACTCTCGTGGCTTCTAGCCAAACAATAGACAGGCATATGGGGTAAACATATACATCAGGTGGATATACTCCCTAAAGCAATCAATCGTGGGAGAACAGAAGGGCAGTGTTTGCACAGGGAGATAGCTGTGGGGGCAAAGGGGACAGAAGTGCATAGGAAAGAAGGACACAGGGAAGAGGCAACTACAGAGAGGAAGTGGGAAGAGAGCTGTTACTTTGTGGGGAATTGTAGTTAATGTCATGAAACAAAACGTGTATGAACTGCTATATGGAAAATGAATTTGCTCTGTTAACTTTCACCCAAATTGCAATATAAATAATAAATTATAAACCAATGTAAGATTTAAAAAAAAAAACTTTTAATAATTGTAGTAATATCAGCTATATTTTTTAGCATTATCTCATTTAATCTTTTCTCCTATTTTCTATTGTGGTAACACACCTAACGTACAATTTACCATTTTAAGCATTCTGAAGTGTGATTTAGTGACATTTAGTACATTCATAATGTCATACCACCATCACCACTAATTCAGAGCATTTTCCATACCCCAAAAGGAACCCCTGTATCCAATAATGGTCTTTCCTCATTCTCTTCTCCCTCAGTATTCCCTCCCACCACCACTGCCTGCCCTCTGTGGATTTGCCCATTGCAGACCGTCCACATGAATGGAACCATACAGAACGTGCTCTTCCGCGTCTGTCTTTTTCCACCGGGCTTAATGTTGTCAAGGCTCATC